GTTGAGAAAACAAAATCAAGCTTTTGTGCATCAAATGATTGTACCTAGAAAAATGTGGAAAATGTTTTCCATGGAAAAATTTACCTATCAAACAGCTTTTTAAGGTTGGAAAAGGAAAATGTTTTCCTTTTCCATGGAAAACTAAAGCTATAAAATGGAGCCTAAGATGTTTTATCATTATTTGAAAATTCGTAGAATAAAAGAGAAATATTACATATTATTCTTTTGTGTGGGTGTAAGTGTTTCAAAATTTGAGGGGTAAATGAGAGACTTTTTAATGAGATTTTGTATATATACTTTTTACTTAAAAGTTATTACGCGAAGGCTTTTATAGAAGTTTAATTATTGAGTTTTTAGACACCTCGTAAAAGTTTTGATTTAATACCCATGACTTCTAAAGACTTGCATATATTTTTCCATTTCAAAAAATATGGAGAGAATATAAATAGTAGTTACGATACATGATTGACGAGAGAGGGTCTAGTATGGGCCTTTTCAGGGTTCAACCCTCCCCCTTTCTTGATGGCCGAGCTCAAGAATGGATGGCGGTGGTCGACCTTGATAAATTGAGTGGTGGCACTTGTCGAAGGGTGACATATGTCACCCTTTAGTCGAAGGTCCTTCTTGGGTCGTCAATTGAGCGGTGGCAATTGTGTAGTAACTATAGTTCCCTCTTGTTCATTCTCTAGTTAGGTTAGGGAAACAACTGAACGATTACTTAAACGCAAATTCAAACGCGCTCACAAAGTGCACAATAAGAACAAGACCAATAGAGACGTCATAAGGAAACATTGAGTTGAATATCGTGTTGCTCCCAGAGAGTCATATTTCGAATATAAAAAAGTCAAAGTTCCCAACAATCAAATAGTTTATCATATCTTTTTTATAAACCGTACGAGAACGTCTTCTGTCACCCTCATGGTGCTAACAGCTCCAATATTTTAAACTTTTTTTCCTTCTTTAACTATGTGCCATTTTTTATAACCTAATTATTTGTCAAGTAAACAACCTATTCAAATCTGGTATCAACTTCTTCCCTATATGACCGATGATACTGTGTCTGAGAAAAAAAAAAAGCATAAGTCCAAACCTATTCAAACTATTGNNNAAGTCCAAACCTATTCAAACTATTGTTAACCAAAACAAAGGCTTCTTCCCCACCAAATCTGATCTGATGCACTGACACCGTTGTACAGTGCCTCAGATTCTTACACAACATTTTGGGTCCTCTACACAAGAAATCTAAACCAGATAGTATGTAATTTGTAAACCTCCCACAGTATATATATATATATATACAGTTGTGTATATATATAAAATGGTGATGCTAAGAATGATGAAGAAGACAATAAAAGCCAACAAACTTTTCACGAAAAATACAAGTAACTAGTATTAATGGAGACTGGTACTAATAATAACAGGCAGCTACAACTTCTGCATCTTCTTCACAACTGACTTGCAACACCGACAATTCATGCTTCTGAACCAACATAATTTACTTATTTGAAATAGGGTTTGGGCCACTTGGAACTTCATGAGCACCAGCTCCAAATTCTCGCCAAGTATGTGAATTTTGCCTCTTTTTAGGACGAACGTGAACATCCATTGAATTTGTAGCAGATGCTTTCGGAGCATCCTGGACGAGACGCCTTGTGGAGGAAACGGCCGTCTTCATGGATGGTTTACCAGGATCGGAAGAGTGCACAAGAACAAGGGAGATGAAGAGAAATCCAAGAAGAAGAAGAAACATATATGATTTTGTAGAGGCTTCAGAGCTTGAAGATTTGGATTTTGCCATGCAATTTGGAAAAATGAAACACCCACCAAAAGATTTTATGAAATTAAAATCCATTAACCAGAAAGCGGAGGGGACAGGTAAAGGCAAAGGCAGAGAAAGAAGGGAGAAGCTTCAGAAAAAAATGTGGAGTTTTGAAATTCGGCACACGTCTGATTGTCGAGAGAATCAGCATATGAAAAAGTGATAGATGGTTTATCCCACTTTTTATTGTTGATTTTTATTGGAATTTTCAAATGTAGCAATAATCATTATTTCAAATTGTATTTAACTACCGGTGGTGAATGTACCAAATTTTAATTTAAATTAAAATTAATAATTAATTTTAACCGCACGTTTCATCGACTTCTATCAAAATCTACTGAAAATCTAATTTTAATTTCTACTTAACATAGACTTAGTATGAGTAATTTAGGAGACTATGAACTAATGGACAGATGTGAGGTCTACTATCACTTTTACTAGTGTTACATAGCATTGTTCATTTATCCAATAAGGTTTATTTATTGATGGGGTCTACTCTCACTTTTCTTTTTTTTTTCTTTTTCTTGATGAGGTGAATGATAAAATTTCTTTTCCTTGGTGAAAATAGGGTTCTTTGGAAAAAGTCAATAAAACATAAAATAAGCTCTGAAGTATATACATCATTTTGCATACCAATTTCCCTTTTTTTTCTTTTTCTTTTTCTTTTTCTTTTTTTTCCCATTGCACAATAGGAAAAAAAAAAGTGATGCAACAATAAGATCGATTCATAATAACTATTTTAAAATGCATATGAAACTATATATTTATGGCGTCATCAACATTTTTTTCCACGGAAGGGACGACCTCTAGATCAATTTCTAGTAACTATTTTGACACACGTATAGTACTTTTTGGTGGCTAGACGATATGAAGATTAGATAACATTAACGAGCTCCAAATCGACTTCTAATTAATTACTATTTGACACTGTATGGAACTATTTATGGCTGCTAGCAAACCAACAAGTAATAAATCTTTTGCCATACTTGTGTAGTTTAAAAAAGTGTGTTGACAAAATGATGTGACAAGATCTAGATCATTAAAACTGTTTTTTAAATCATTGGTCAAGATGTTGCTAACACGTATTTTGTAAACTAATTTTGTAACATAACTTTGTACAAGTAGCATCTCTCGTCTTTTGTTATGTTTTTGGACCTTGCTATAGGTATATGAATTTGAAATTCCTGTACCTACAGGATACACACAACACTTGGAGGGAAAACATTTTTTTTTTCAATATTTTACATACGGGGTCCACATCATGTGAGGAGGAATTCAAAAATCTGTGGAAATTCTGGTAAAAATTCCCTGTACTTGCAGCTTAATTCTATGTTTTCATGGTTGCCAGTTGGAAGATCAAGATATGTACTAGACTAAACCAAGAAATCAATGAATTAGGGATATGGGCTTTTTCTAGGCAAACCACAGGCTTTTTCTAGGCAAACCACAGTTTACTCCTTTAGTTATATAGCTATATATGTGTATATATTTGGGGCCACTCATGTGATTCACAATAAAGAATCTTGAAAGAAAATTAGGGCCCCAAGTGAGATTGTGCTATACTGATGCTATTTTATGTAAGGAATTTGGAAACATAGTTTTCACTTTATTTGTATGCTTTTGCTCTTTTGATTTTTAAAGAATGTCAATTTCACACCCTCTCTTGCAAAATTCAAGGTGTGAGAATTGTGTAAATATTTCTTATTAACTTGTTCATCATTGAACAAGATATAATTAGCTAAAGTTGGGAATTAAAATTTAATTCGAAATCATTAATTAATTTTAACCATATATTCATGGAACATAAAACTTTTCAATCAGGGGCTTAGCGTCAACTAAAAGTCTAGAAGGGAGAATGAATTCAAAGGAGGCTATTTAAGAATTGCTTTACATTTAACTACCCTTGGAGGAAATAAATTAAATAAGATCCTTTTGCGAATTCTTATTTTCAATATTTGTAAATTAAATTATTTTGGAATAAAAAATGTTTGAGCTAGCATTTGGAAAGCGTTTATAATCAGTTTAAATAATAAACGAATAGAATTGAGACTTACCATGACATTATCTTTGCCGCACTGAAAATCACACGTCATTGGCCAGCTAATTCACATTGGCCCATGTAGCTAATGTGGATGAGAAATGTTATTCATCCCCACTGAGGATGCATCCTCAATCTATGTGGCGTTAATGTGGCATTAAATGATAAGTGAAATTAAATAAATCATTTAATTTCACCTATCATTTAACCAATCATTTACATTCACATAGATTGGGGATGCATCCCCACTAGGGATGAATAGCATTTTTCAATGTGGATAGCATTCAAATTGAGATTACCATGAAAAAATTGTCAATATTTGGTCTCTATTTTTTTTTTTAACTCATTTTTTTTTCAAACACAAAATTCATGTGCTCCACAATTTTTATTAACTTTTCAATTACACGTTTCATCTTTTTTTATCAAAATTTACTAAAAGAATTGATTTTTATCAAAACAAACAGTGGCAAAATATTGAAGTCCAAACCTAACATGTACGTAAAAGTCTTCGATTCCAAAAAAACATTTGAGAAGTTGTTCAAGATTTGTACACTAGTTTTACAATTTCATCAAGCAACCATGGCACTTGGCTGGTCACCCAAATCTTCTTTAGCTCAAATAATGGGCAACCCAATAAAGAACAAAAAGCAAAAATAAAAGGATCAGATGATCAAGCAATATGACATCAAACCAAACCCACAAGTCTCTTATTTTCCCTACATAACACACCAATTATCATGACTTATGTGCTCATTTCCCTATTTCCATAACAATTTGCTTCAAAAGTCAATGAATCCATCTTTAAAGAAATAATAATTGAAAATATGATTGTTAACTACCAAAATATTAGTAAAAGATTTTCAAACCTCTCAAGTCTCAAGACAAGACAGCCTCAATCAATGATATCTTCATGGTCTTCTTTTTTTGGGTAAGCTCCAAAAATCCTGGACTTCCATGCTATTTTGTCCCACCAATGTCAACAAATTGAGGTAAGCTATGGATCTCATAGGTTGTCTGACAAAACTTTTGATAAAAAATTTAGCATTAAATAAAAGTTGCTGAAATATGATGTAGAAAAATCGATCAAAATTGTGGTTCCACGAGGCGTGTTATATTAAAATTAATTATTAACTTTAACTTTTTTAGCAACTTATTAGGTTATTTCGAACAATTTCTTAATTTTACTGCCATTTAACGTATAAAAAACCTATGAAAAAGTTGGGTCAAAAGTAATAATTTGTTTTTAAATATATTTAGCCTTATTCTAAACTATAAACACTTGATATTTTTGGAGTATGAGGTTCAAAGCTTACAATTAAGTTAATAAGTGAGGGTTACTTTAAAAAAAAAAAAAAAAAACCGGCAATGCATGCAGTCGACAAAATCTTTTATATTCGAAAACTATATATTTTATCCTCCTTATCTTTTCGACAAAAAAAGAAAAAAAGAAAAACAATTCTATTCTTTATTCTTTAAGTTCAGAAGAGAATTTCTAAGAAAAAAGTTTTCAGTATCGCATATAGCTTCAAGGCATGTGATATAGTCTTAGTTAACTCGAATTAGTATATTCTACATATTCTTTTCCCATTTGTTTGAAATACGCTAATTTCAACATCGCAAATAGCTTCAAAGCATATATTTTTTGTCAAAAGCTTAAGGAATATTATTTTTTGTCTTAGTTGACCCGTATTGGTATCGTCTACATACTCTTTTCACACTTGTTTAAAAAATGCTAATTTCAACCCATATAGAATGTTATTAATGACAAGGTATATACAAATTTTGGATTTCTATAACGTAAATAAATCAGAGTATCAGAGAAAAAATCATTAAACCCATGTTTGGTAATGATTTTTCTAGAACAAAATTTATGATAAGTGATATTTTTAAAGTATTTGTAGTTAAAAAGTATAGAAAAGTTATGAGTTCAAATGCAAAATTATTTTATTAAAAAATGTGATTAAAAAAATTGAAACAAAAATTAGAATGAGAGCCAAAGATGACTATATGAAATTATGATAGATACTTTTAACATTTTCCATAACCAACACTGGCAATCATAATTCATACACGTATGAAATATAAACTCTGAGTCAAGATGTAGGGGTTAGAGAGAGAGAGAGAGAAGCTCTCAATTATAGTGAAAGAAACACTCACTAAAGTTGCTCCTTGCGTTTGTGAGCTCATTGAACTTGAATTTGATTTTACCTCAATGAAGTGGTAATGTCGAATCCAGCAGCACAGATTTTTAGTTTAATCTGTCCAGATCCAAAAAATTTCAAGTCTCTTGGATATTCAAATTTCGACAAGAACAGTTAGGTATGATAATAAAAGATTCGAAGTGTTATCTTAGAAGAATTTCAAGTTTCTTGAAAGTTTGAAAATCGCCAAGTTTGGTTCCGCAATGTCCTTGAAAGTTTCCAAGTTTTCCTTCTCTTCTTGGAAGATTTGTAAACAGCCGCAGGTCATTTGCATTGTTCAAGCAGTTCTATGCAAAGTTTTGCCCAGTTTCATGGTGCTTCTCTTTTGGTGATGCGCGATTTTAAGCCTCAAAACTTGAGGCTGTTTCAACAGTTCTAAAGAGTTAGGCCTGTTAAGTGTTTTGGTCAGCTCGTTCCAAGTTCAGTTGGCATATTTCTTTGCTCCTTGTTCGAAATTTTCCAGGCCCCGTGTTAAGTTCGAATTCAGCTACACATCTTGAAGTCCAGCCAACAGCTTATGCGTTTTATTCATCCAATTTTCTTGCATGTATGGAAGGTTGTCTTCTTGAAGATTCATATTTGTTCTTGGCATAATGAAGTCTTTAATCTGCTCTCGAAGCCCAAAGTTTCTATCTGGGAAATTAAAATATAATTTTAATCCAAATCAAAGTCAAACAATCAATATTAACCATATCTTTCATGGGTCCCACAATTTTTCAACTACACGTTTCAAAAACTTC